TTTTTTTTTTTTTTTTTTTTTTTTTCTTTCCAGTAAAACCAATATAATATTTTAGTGACAGTTATATAGTATTAATAATAGAAGATAATAATACTAACAGTAATAATAATAGTAAAATAATAACAGTATTGATAAAAGCAAAAAAAAAAATTTTTTTTTTTTGCCAAATTTATATTTATGCCTTCTTTTTTTTTTTTATAACTGTTTTGCCGTTACAAAACCGCTTTTTTTTTCTTTTTCACCTTAATTCTTGAGCATTCATAAATGCTTGGCAGAACAAGAAGGCGAGTAAGACTGTGATGGAACGTTCAGTTATGGTCAAAATAAGAATTTCATTGTTGACCATGGGAATAATTCTGAATAAAAACAGATGTTTTGCACTCTATAAATAATTTAAGAAAAAAAAAAAAAGAGAAGGAAGAAAAAAAAAGTAGTTACAGCTGACGATTCCAGAACAAAACAATCTGTTACTTTTTATTTACTTCTTCGTTCTTCGCCTTTTTCTGTTGCTGTTGTTGTTGTTGTTGTCGTTGTTGTTGCCGATACTTAGACTACACCGAATAGATTCTACGCTCCACACAAACTCTTTATATTGTTTTCTCCAGTTTAATCTTTTTTTTTTTTTTATTAGCTCAGCTTATTGTTGCTTTTTCTCTCCTTCTTTTTTTTTCTTTAAAAATTGATTAAAACATGACTTGGAATGTCAGTTACTGTCAGAGTGAAACAGTTTCAGGAAGCGCATAGAAGAACGGCAACAGTTTAGTATTGTTAGCTGAATATCAATATTTGTCGACCTTGGAAGAAAAGAACAAAGAAGTAAAATTAATAATAACAATAGAAATAATTATTATAATAACAATAATAGTAATAAGTAGAAAAACAATAATAATAATAATAATAATAATAATAATAATAACAGTTATGTGTGCTGTTTTGCAAGCCGACCTCAACCGCTGGCAACAGAACAGCAGTCTTTTTTCCCTTTCTTTCTTTTTTTTTTTTTTCAACAGGTAGGTAATTAATGTATGGCCGTGTAACGATTCCACTGCTACAGTACTAAATAGTCGAAAAAAATTCTTTCAATTAACCTGTCCTGAAAATTGTTGGATAACAACAAAACAACTACATTTAAAAAAAAAAAAAAAAAAAACATT